GTGTGTGTGTGTGTGTGTGTGTGTGTGTGTGTGTGTGTGTGTGTGTGTGTGTGTGTGGTCTTACTTCTTTCATCCGTTGTTAGCACTTTGGTTACTGCATGTTCCCAGTCAAAGATGAACCTGTAGAAGCACAGCTGGTTGTACAGGGCCTTCTCCGAGTACTGCAGGATTAACAAAAACAATCAGACATCAGACAGAATCACACACTAACTGTGATGGAAAAAAAATAAAGAAATTGTGAAAATAACTGGGCGTTAATTCAGTAACGATATATATCATGATAGACGTGTTCAATATCAATAAAAAGCATATCCGATATAATATATATTATAATATTAACAGTTGATAACTTTCTGATCAGATAATCTAGGGTCTTTTAGCTAAACACCAACTTCAAAATAAAAGCTTCAAGCTGTTAATAGACAACATACGCTTGCTAAAAAAACTGCTCACGCTTCATTTTGAAATGTGTAAACCAGGGTTTCTTACTCCCTCTTGTCAGCATATTTGAGCGACAGAGCACTAGTTTGCTGGACCAGACCACCATCGTATGGTTAATATGAAATTAAGTATTGATTTATGATGCTGTTACAATGAAATGAGGCATCTAAAAACTGAACAGGGTGTCAATACGAGGGCCAAACGCTAAACGCCTGCTGCTAAACAAGGTAAGCTAGCAAAAAAACCTGTGGAGTAACGTGCGGTAGCAGTTTCACGTTTCTCCGCTGAACTGCTTCAAAATAAAAGAACGGCATGAAGTGAAAGGAGAAAAGAAATTGTGGATAAAAGAGGAAAGTTTGTCAGTATTTCAGCTATTTTAATTCCGACCGATCTGAAACRCCATATCGCCCAGCCCTTTACATTTAGATTAGACAATAAGATTTCACATTTAAGAGACCAATCACATTGAACTGAGAARTAACTCTCAAAATGATAGGTGGAGAAATGTGCAGCTGTACTGCACTGGTTAAAATGTTTGCAACATTTGCATTTAGTCATAACATCAATGGATCATTTAAATAAACTATGAAATATAATGAAGTATTTTTTGAGCAGTATCAACAAAAAAACAAGATTTTGAGCAGAAAAGCCTCAATTTTTTTTGTAATTTTCTCTGCAAGCTAGCAAAGCTTTTCTTCCTTTCAGCTAGTAAATCTCAATATCCAAATAGTTTGAGGTTTCCTCCTTAAAAAGACATGAAAAATTCCTGATAAGAATAACCTAAAATAGGATTCAGATCAAATATTAATGGGTTATTGTGATTAGGAAAACAAATCAAAGCAGATCTCTGGAACCACTCAGGATGATCCAAAATGTGCTGAGGTCATTTTGACCAAATCAGATGAATCCTCACTTTGATATGATGGGTCACATTTGTTCTTGAATGAAACTTGAGCTCATAAAACACATAAAYGTGACTTTTAAACAAGGATGTCCAGCTTTTATCATGTACCCATCAACATACATTAAATAGCAGAGTCAATGGGTAGAAAAAAAACAGACAAATGGTCATTAAATACACCACAAAGGTTCTTAACTTTTTAATTCATCAACAAACAGCAACCAGCAAAGTGATTGTGATTAAAAGAAAAAAAAAAMACATTCAGAAGGGATTTATTAGTGGATATATTGCTGTGTATGAAAAAAAAATAAGTGGATACACTTCATACACATGCTTTGTAGGGCTGTGTATTGGCAAGAATTTGGCGATACGATACATATCATGACAGAGGGGTCACGATACGATATATCCCGATATATTGCGATACTATAAGCAAGGCGATATGTTGCAATATATTGCGATTTTTTTGTCCACAAATTCTATTAAATAAAAACCTCTTACTGGAGGAAAAAAAATGAAAAACCAAAATTCATCGTCTCAGAAAATTCTAATATTACAGAGACATACTTTTGATGCATTTAGCTGTGTTCTGCTTTGTTTGTGTTTTATTTTATTTGTTTCATATTTCTTATTTCATCCATGTTTTCAATTATCAGACTAAATTTGACAATAAATAGTTTGAAAATATATTTTTTTGCAGCTTTTAGTTTGTAATATTAATTTACAAAATGGTCACCCAACACTAAACAATAGCCTCTACTTCAAGAGGTAGAGGAGCCAAATGGTTGGCTCACTGCCAACTAGCCGTTCATTTTTATGTTGTAGTGAGCCATGCTCACTGCTGCCAACTAGTGGTCAGAGGCTGCACTACAACATAAAAATGAACGGCTGGCAGGAAAGTTGACATTTTAAAACTTAATAAAAAAATCGATACAGGGCTTTAGAATATCGATACAGTATCGGGAAATGAAATATCGCGATATTTCAGTGTATCAATATTTTCTTACACCCCTAATGCTTTGTTTGATATTTTTGGACTTCACAACACATAAGTATGATAAACACCTGATCTAAAAATCTAACAAATCCAAACCCCATTTGCAACATATTTCACCCAGTTTTAATAAACCAACTCAATGATTGGTCAAGGTTCAGCTCTGTTGGACCCACAAAACATTTTAAATCCTGGTTCAGAACTTTGTCTTTTTACCAATCTTGGCTAAACACAGACTTGTATTTGACATCAAAAACTAAAATGAGGAATTTGCTAAACTTACAAATTTTGCCAAACTGAGTCTGTTTAAAGTTTCATTTAAATTAAAAACAATGTTCATGTTCAGCCACCTGCCTGTGCTCCAGGTGGGGGACAATGAAACRGAATGTAAACTATAATTTTTACGTTCAGCTCCTGCCTCGTTTCACAACGTACAAAGAAAGTAACAGAATAGATAACCAAGGGAGTCTTAACATGTTTTCAAGACAATAAATAGGAGAGTTAAAACCCCCAGTTTTGAAAAAAGATGTACAAAATAATTGGTTGGTTATCTTCATTAGCTTCTTGTCCATTGTTAGTGGTTTGCTTTCTACCAATTGACAAACTATGCATGAGGAAAATGAGGATTTCTGTTAATAAATTTGACCTTCCCTATAATAAAAGACTAATTTGAGTTTTTTGGGGGATGAGAAAACATGGTCTGATCCACGATATAAGGTCTTTAATTTGATTAATCAAACCTCCTTGTCACTACTAGCCAGCTTATTATCAATACTGGCCTTTTATTACACTAAACAATAAAACATGATTTCATTTAAAACAAAAAGTCAGGTTTACAAGAAAAAAAAAAGGCAAAACAGAATAATGAATCTGGTTCACCAGGCAGCCCGAGCACGATTCACCCTGTTCAAATGACTAAACCTCCCCGAGAAGATCTCTCTTCCTCTGTGTGACACAGTGAAGCAAGAAAACAAATTTGCTTGCTTTGTTAATTTCCACTGCAATTAAGTGGAGCCACATGACAGCCTGCCAAAAGGGAGAGAGGAGAAAGAGATAGAGAGGATGAGTTGGAGGGAGGGGGAAAAAAAAAAAGAAGAGGAGCGAGAGAGAGGAGTTAAAATCCAGGAGGAAAAAAAGTGAGAGACGGCAAAAAGCGAGAGAGAGGAAGAGGAGAGAGGATCAGACCTGGTATCCCCTCCCTCATAATAGTTTGTTGTGATAAGCCATTGTGAGAGAGGCATGCGAACAGCCGAGGCTGTCAATTTGATTAGCCATTATACTGCATGTTTAATTGCAGTTATTGGCTCGTCATTTCCCCGCTGCACTGCAGAGGGCACGCTAAGCCTCGACCCCACACTGCCATCAGGTGTGTGCCGAGTGCTTCGTTATTACCACCAGGAAGAATCCCCCTGACAATCCCTGCGCCCATTATACCTGCCAATCGGCAACGCGCGTAATTGTAATTTCAGTTTTTACTGCCGCGGCGTAATCAAGTGGTGAGAGTATCTAATGCAGCTAAATGCAAACTACGTGATGTGTGCGAACGAGTGTGTGTGTGTGTGTTTTTTTTTTAATGGCTTGCTGTTGCTGCCCACATGGCATGCACAGCTGTTGACCGTTGATGCACTGCCTAGTCAACAACCAAACCATGCACATCCCATAATGGAGCCCCGGCTACGGTTGCCAAGGTTGAATGAGCTCAGTGGGCACAAGCGCTGCGCACCACCTCTTCCTCTTGAAAAATAAAACACACACACACACACACACACACACACACACACACACACACACACACACAAATGAGCATTCAAACAATGTATTGCTGATTTGTGGGCGGGCCCGCCGCAAAACACTGATTGACTGACAGGTGTCAGAAAGGTGTGGCTAAAATGTTACAGGATTGTTATTGAATTTAGAGCCCTGCAACCCCACCTCACTCTCTTCCTCACACTTACACACACACACACACACCTCCACCTCGTCATTCAGCTCGGCGCTTTGTTCCCGCACTGACACCATTTCAATTTGCTCCACAAATCTGCAGCATTTTCAGCCTGACTGCCTAAGGAGCAAACCAGCTGTGAAATTGCCTCTCTCCCGGGAGTGTCGGACCCCCCCCCCACCCCCCACCAACTCGAACCCCTTGCTTCTTTGCCTCCTGCATCCCAGACTGACTCCCCCGCCTTCCAACCCAGTAACACACATACATGTACACATCCTCGCCCCTTAGACAGAAGCAAAACACTGAGGGGGACGCACGTTCAGGAGGATAAAGAGCGAAGCCAGGATGTATAGTGTAAAAGAAAGAAAGCCAGAAACAGAAAAGAGGAGACCCTAAATCATACAAATTGATCCAAATGGCAGAGCAGCAGTACGAAATGACTCGCACAATAAAACAACCACTCAAGCCTTCCTCAAGTGATAAAAACGTCTGTCCCTATCTTTCAGGTGACTTGAACGAGCTCGCCCGACCTCCAGAGAAGTTCCTCTCAGCGCAGCGCCGCTCGGCTACACGAGTGAAGCAGTTAATGAAATCAGCCAGACAATATTTCTGCGTGCGTGAGCGGGCCAAACACAAACATGGCGAGGATTAAAAAAAAAAGAAAAATGTGTTCAACCTGCAGTAAAAAAAAAAAAAAATCTGTAATTCAAGCAACCCAGAGGCGCACAGACGCAGCCTCCTCACTTTTAGTCGACGCTCCTCTTTAGCGTCGCCGCAAAACATGCCCCGCCAATTCTAAACGCTACGACATCTAAGCCCCCTTCGCGAGAACYGCAGCTGCAGGAAAAACAGAGGGAGTGAGGAAGGGAGGGGAGATGGAGAG